TTTTCGGTTTACAGTCTCGGTATACAATTTTGCCGGTTGGCCTCTGGGGAGGTCAACAATTGTAAACTGTTGACCACTACTAGGTACTGTTGACCCCTATTTTTGAAAAATTGTTTTTTTAATGTTGAAATTTTTTTAATTTTGAAAAAATAAGTTGTGTAAAAAATTACAAGTATTCGACGGTTTGGGGATTTTTTGCTAAAATATGATACCTTTACTTATCAAATATGTTCACGTGATATTCGATTATATATTCGTCCAATTATTATAGTATTTGGACTAACAGAACAATTGTTAACCTCTCTTTTCGGTCAACTGGCAAAAGTGTCCTCGACCTCTGGTCTTGATCAACAGTACTTTCAAGGTTTACAGTATCGGTATACAATTTTGCAAGTTGACCTCAAGAGGGGTCTACAATTGTATATTGTATATCTTTTGTTATCCCACCCAAAGTATGATGTCATATATCAAGTTGAAGAGTTGTATACGCTGCTCAGGAGTTTACGCTATCCAGGAGTTGTACATCGTTCTCAAGAGTTGTATAGGATGAGTGTTGGTTTAATATATTGCAGTTATACAATGCTATTATATAAAAGTTATTTACTGAGAGGGATTCAATATTGGTTTTATTTCGAGAGACAATATGATACCCCGAGGGCCCGGGATATCTGGAATAACTGTACCCCTATCAATTTACCTTTTTGGGCCCTAAATCTTATCACTTTTGTTTACCTTTTTACTCAGTCGGAGAGAAGGAATCCAAAGAGAGCAATAATTCTACACGTGCGTCGTGCAAGATTTCCATTATATTATTAAACGTGTAACTAAACGGCCTCTCTAATAAAGTAAATTAGACGTTTTTACACGTTGGCTCTCCAAATTGTAGGAAATAAAGAATCATGTCATATTATATCATAGATGAAGCAATCATCCCATTAACATAAGCTCACGAATGTCACAGTTAAACTGTTTTAGTTATAATTTGATAAACAGTGGTAACGTACATCTACTAGTTTATCACTGTTCCACAGAAGGATGACAGATAATATCATGATAATATTCAATAGCTCATCATGTTTACCGAGAACGAAAGATATTTGTCCACCATTTTGAATGATACTAACTGGAGTCAGGGTCATCAAGCTATGGAACAGTGGTTTATGAAAATAGATTGGGTTACTAAAGCTTGCCATGTTAAAGGCGATTGAACTATGTTATAGAATAACGTCCAGTACATTATAATATGTAAAAGTATAAATTTTTGAAAATACATATAAAGATCTTCGCCCGCAGGACGTGTATTTTGAATGCCTTGAAAAGAACGCAAATATGGGTAGGCTAATTGGTAACGGTATTGCAATAGTAGCATTTAAAAATCTGTTCCTCTCGAGATGGTCTTCTGAAATTATACTATTAATTGGTGTTGCTGCATCATTGCTCAAATCTAGAGGAGTGTTGTTGCATCTTCGGTTTGGTGTTGTTGCATCAATAGTGAGGAACTAAAACCGTGAACTTATTGCTTCTTGGTGATGGTATATGTATACTAATGACAGTTTCTTTAAATATAGATCGTGCGCTAACTGTACGTGTATGGTTATTGAGCAACTCGTCCTAGAAATGGGTTTAATTGGGGACACAAAATATCGTACGAAAATCTATCACCGGAAGTCTGGCCATCTTGATGCAACAACACGGTGTTGTTGCATCACGATACTCCCCAGTGATTTACAACCAACTTGATTGTGTCGTTTATTTTGATTGATTAAACTTAATAAAGCAAAAATCATAAATAAATATGATGATGATATTAGCAATGTAAACCGTGTCATGATAACATGGTTGATTGCCAAACATCGACATTTGGATTATTTCAACATTTACTTCCTGAAAACGCCCTGGATGGTAGGGCGGCCAAGGTTCGGAGAGGGGGTCTTAAACAATTGTTTTAATTTGTTTAGAATATGCTTTCCATATGACTGATTGTGCTCTTATATATTTCGTTTCTTGCAGTGGTAATATCATCGGGTCTTTCCTCTTTTGACCCCTGTGTATATATATTTCTTCATTGATTGTTACTAGAAGGTGTCGACTGGGTGGCAATGTCACATACCATGATACCAGCGCCTCGCACAGAGCAAGCAACAGCTTATTTGATAGTGACGTGTGTCAGTGTTTAGACAAGGCGTGAGTCAAGTGCATATTTCAAGAAACATTCTTATCAAGAAAACAACACTGAAAATGGTTATACTGTATTTCTTTTGGAATGTCTTTCACAGCGATATATTTCCTACTTGCGGATATGAGAGGAGAGGGTTTTTCTTTTAAGCTTAATAAGTGGCCCTCTTAAAAAGTGTTCCCAAAAATGTTCGGGTGGGGGTCTGGGATACCCATATCTAGCCCTATAGCTCATTCCGACGAGCCTTCCCCCATTGGCCGTGAAATGTTGCTATAAAGCTGACCTCAACTGACAGTCTTTGGACTACTTGGTGTTCCTCTTGTACTAATGGGATAATCTTCTTGGACTAATGGGACGCTTATTACTGTTGTTTTTATGCCAGGTCATCAGCTGTTGGCATGCCCTTGTTTTCATAGGAATCACCTTGTCAGATTTGTCGGTGTCGGTGTGAAGTCTAATTTGTCGCTCATTAATTTTGTCTCAAATTGGAGCTATACATTTCAAAACAATAATCAAATGGTCCTTTTGTTGTTTGAGAGGTCATCCAACTGGGTCGGGGGAATTTTCATTTCACATATAGTGTTCTTACTATTATTTCACCTTTATCAGTAAAATGTGCATATACAAATAAACAGGCAAAATGAATAATGACCATTTTCTGTTGATCTAAATCCAATGATCAGAACGAGATGTTTAGCAACAGTTACTAGTGACACAATTTAACGAAATACGACGAAATGCATCATTAGAAGAAACAACCTAAACTCATCTTTATCTCATCTTTAACTGTCTATCAAAATTCGTTATTCTAGTATAGTTTGGAGAAGCGAATCGTCTACTGAGTAAAGTGGACTAAAATACATACAGGTGCCCGGGTCTGTGAGGCCAAGGTTACCCCAGGACACGGTAATATGGAGCTATCGCTTATTGAAAGATTTCATGTATTAGGCCTTCATCATGCATTCTTCACATTATACTTTCCAGGAACTAGATAAATTTGAACTCTTGATTTATGTTATTGGTATGAAGGTATGTGAACATCTATATGTTATAGGACTGGACCAAGGCCGAGATCAGTATAATTACGCATAATGATATGCATCTTGTAGTTTCCAAAATTAGAAACACCGAGTGCCGGTTTGTAAAATCGGGACAGGCTGAACATGCTACTTGGCAATGTTGAGCGATGCATGAAACCCACACATCAAAAACACAACACCAATGAATCTATGAATCCAATTCCATTTCCATTATACAATATCAAAATGGTCAATGCTGAGTTTTTTGTATATTACCTTTACTGGTAATAAATAAAGGGTAAATGAAGATATACCAATGAACTAAGCCCCTTCTTGATTACAATTTATAATTTACTAGAAGGTAATATTTTTTGGTATTATGCCATTCATTAATTAAACCACTAACTTGATCAAATTTTGTCACACGGTCTATCGTTTTAGATCTCTTATATTTGTACCTCATTCTAGCTATTTTCTACATATCTGAAATGAAAAATCATTTTATTCTGTATTTATCCGATGGGTACTAAGCTAGAAGTGTACTATTTTCAGCATGTTTTCGAAAAAAATATAAAATTTTGTGTTTGGTCTGGTTATATGTGTATCATCTTCTTGATCTTTTCATCTGTAGCTAATATTAAATATAGATTATGTGAACTCGCTTTGGGTTTGTGGCATGCGTTTGGGCCACTGGGAAGCAAGTGGAACATTGTCTGAATGTTGCAAAAATAAAAATGCAAACAATGTTACACGAAAGGTTTTACCAGGTGGAATGGTATTTCGTTCTTGTTGTGTCTGCATTACCCTCTATATATATCTATACAGTGCGTTAAAAAGCGTTGATTTAGACATGGATGTATGAACTTCTCTAGCACTGCCTGTGAATCAGCCATATACAAATACCTGTGGTAAACTTTTAGGCTTATCCCACTCCTATCTTTCCAGACGTTAAACATTGCTTCAACTCGTTCTATTTTTACTCTGGTGTACATCTCAGTTTAAGGCATACCTTACCACTTCTTAGGGGAACAGCCAATACATCCTATCCACGCAATAATACATCAAGGTGAGAGGGTATAAGAACTGGCAGGTTTTAATTAGTCTCCTAAAATATAAGCAGGCCCAATATGGAGCCTTATAGTACACCATGGATCTAACAAGTAGACTAAATGGCAAGATAAGTGAGGTGAACTTATCTAGTGATAACCTTAGCTTCCAAGCAGAGAGGCAGATATTGGCATCTGACTTTCCTTTCATTTTCGAACCATATGTTCTTTTGTAACATTCAAAACAAGAGGTAGAAGTTAAGCAATCTTAAATGTATTTTTGCATTTATCTGTAAATCAAGATTTCATGGGCAGGCGATTAAAACGAATTTAAAGTAAAGGTACAAATGGTGAAGGGTCTTTCGATTCTGTAGTACATTTTTGCTAATGTAAGAATCAGCACCTGGGAAATATATTCTGTATATACTAAGTTAATTAAGGCGTTCTAATCAAATTGGCTCTGGCTAGAAATCATAATTGAAATGAGATAATATGTTTTCCCAAACTCCAAAGTCCCAAACTTTGATGTGATTTTTTTATGCACGTATACAGTACGTTGGATGTAACTTATATCGTCTGTGCCGTACCTTATACATATACGTCTCTTATGTATTTGAATGTGGTAGTGTTAAAACAGCATTGCTTTACCTTATGCTGACTATAAAGTATGTGTGTGTATGTTTTCAATGGGCCAATAAACATTATATATTATTAATATATTTATATTGTGAATTTAAATTCCACATTTTCTTCTTTTAGGCCAGAATCCGTGAATTAGAAGATGCGTTGGATGCTGAAAGAGAAGCACGTATCAGGGTAGGTCACAATTAATTATGTTTTTACTTGACAGTACACGACACATTAATTAATTAAGATTCACATGTGAAAATGACAATACCTATTTTAATAGCTCTTAACGTGGATATGGATGAGCACACGCAATAAACATTTCTGGATTTCTTCCTTTACAGGCAGAGAAAAATTACACAGAAGTCACCTTCCACTTGGAGACACTCGAGTCTCGCCTCGAGGAGGTCGATGGTCTCCAAACAGCACAGGTTAGTGTCCCCATTAGACGCACAAAAAATAGTTTTGAAAAATGAACTTCCACAGAAATTGAAGTCACTTAGTTTTATAATATAAAACATAAATCAAAGTATCACATAATTCATAAAATGTTCTAATATATTATAAAATCGTATTTTATTGTGTTTTATTATTACATTACATTATATTATATAATATTATGTTATATTTATAATCATATCATGTTATATTATATTATAGCACGGAATGGGAATGAACCGCAGCAGAATCGAAGAGGACGCATCTATAGGTCCTTTCCGTATACTAACATAAAATGAATCTAAATATTCCAGATAACAGTCTTGGCATTGAACCGTCACTGCTCCGATACTGATGGTTTCGAAATAACAAAAATAGAGCAAACCTAAATAGTTTAAGTGCCCACTTATTTGCAAACAAAAATTGTACTGATAACATTCACTTTTATGGTAATTTGTAAAGCGAACTCAGCGATGATGTTTTCCATAATGATTTCTTCGGAGTTATGTTTCCTATTAGCAATTCTTTGGAATCATTGAAGCAAAGTTGATGGCCATCTAAACAACAGTATAAATGCCTGAACTTTATTTAGCCGAAAAAATTGGAATATCATTTTCTTGAAATCGAGCGTTAATTTCAAGAAAATTAGAATATGCATTTCAATGAAAACACAGCGTGTGCATTTCAAGAACAAATCGTTCTCCCTGCCTTTCATTTTCATGTCGTTTGACCAAATTACTCACAGGAAGTTGTAACATACTCCTTTAATTCAAACAAGGGACGCAATAATTCACAATTTTACGATAAGTTTAATTTTCAACATGAGTACATGTCAGATACTAACATTTGAAATTTTATGATTTCATAATTTTATGATTTTCTATGATTAGGCATATATTTCATATAGATGCGAGACCAAACCCTATGGATAGTTTCAATTGGGTCATTACCTTTCCGAGAGGATTATTTTTGGAAAACGATATATATAGTAATAGGGTAAAGTAGACACGATGATACCGTGAGCATTTTAGGATCCACGTCGAGCTGAACATACTACTGAGCTCACCAAGCCCCATGACACAGCCATGATCGCCGCGCAAGCTCAAGGTATCATCGGGTCTGCTTTCCCCGTGTATATAGCTACTTGACTGTGGCATCATATGGCTTCATCATCACCAGCTACAACAACAGCAATTAATACAACCCCCATATTGGTGAAATGATAACTGGTTAAAGGCGTAAACGAATTTCACTGAAATGTCAAAATGACCCCTCAAATCCTTCTGGTAGAATCCTCTTGTGGTTACTATGGAAACAAAAACACCAAAGAATGTGGGTAATGACGTCAGATGTTGTAATTGTTTTGCAAAGATGGAAAAGTGGTTTATGTTATATTTAGATTGCGTTATCACCGGACTTGTTTTTGCTTATCAACTTTCTGCTTTCCAAGTCTAGAAACAGCACTCTGTTGATGCCTAACAGAATCCTATATCCGATGTTGAAATGAAGTCTCACATCGTTCATGATACTGAACACCACTCACTGGTACTGACAAAGCTGATGCCTGGTGTTGCCATCTATTTAAGATAAATATTAGGAAATTTATTTTTGATGCACAAATATTTTTTATACATTTCAGTTTCAATTTATTGACTTCTCTAGCAGAGCGGATGCATAAATAGAGAGAAATATACTAGTATGTACTAAATAGTAAATATGTCTTGATTTTTTGCTGGGCATACTTTCCAATCATTTATGATTATGTGTTTATAATTTAGTATATATATTGCAGGCTGAAGTTAACAGAAAACGCGATGCCGAACTTATTAAAATCAGAAAAGACTATGAACTTATCAGTGTCCAATCAGAACAAAATGAAGCTTCACTCCGTAAACGACACAATGACGCTGTCATCGAATTAAATGACCAACTAGAATTAATATCAAAAAGCAAATCCAAGTATGTTGGTTCGGTTGGTGTTAATACACAAAATGTGTGCTGTGTGTTACTGAACGTTTTTACCCACCATATGCTTGTTGTTCAGCAAAATGTTAAGAGATAAAATCTGACTTTGGTCAAGTTTTTATTGGTTATAATTCTTGGACCTGAAAGAAACCCCATGCATGATGATGTACCTCTGTTTAATAATAGGTTGTACAAGACAGTGTGCGAATATGAGTATACTGTATAGGTCAAATCGCTCAAGTCTGATTTTATCTCTCAAGTCTTGTTTTATCTTTCATATAAAAACACTCTTTCAGCGTACGTAACCCTGCAAACATCACCGTTAACTACTATATCGTGTTATTAAATACTGGATTATTAAAACTAACATAATTTTGTATTTCAGAATAACAGACAAATATTTCTTATACTGAGTGTTTTCACTCGTACTCACATTATCCCATGATTTCATAATTGTGTGTTTTGTACTAATGCCCACACCAGGATGTTCAAACGGCGTCCAACAAAGACACACAACTTGGGTAATACCCACAGTGCCCCCGTCTAACAGTCCATAAAGTGTGCTTGTGTTGTTTGTCAGTTGTGCCATTCACTAACAAGCCCTGGTTTTTCAGTCAGAGAATAACAGAAAAAAAGAACAAGAACTTCAGAAAGTGAAAAAACAATACGATGCATTACAAGCCAACAGTGAGGCCACAGAGTCTAGTCTCCGTAAACGTTATAATGACACAGTTGCTGACTTAAATGATCAGTTAGAACATACATCTAGGTCAAAGAACAAGTAAGAAAGGAAATATCATTCTATTTATCTATCTAGTAGTGCTGTATCTTATTAGTAGCAAGTGCTGATGTTGTGGTCTTGGATCACGATCTTAAATTGTCAAAAAGCTAGCTTTCTCCAGAGATCTACGAGGCCACACTAACCCACAACTGTCTCAGACAAATATTAAGAACTGTCCCCCTATAGAGTATCACCGTCCAAAATAGCACAGAGCACCCAAACTAACAGATAGTATATAGCGTCCAATAGCTATCAAAAATCTCATATAGTGACCAATAGTTAACATAAATAGTAGCGACCAATTGCTATCGAAAATACTATATAGCGTCCAATAGCTATCAAAAATAGTATAGGCCTATTGCGCCCAATAGCTATCAAAATTAGCATAAATGTCCATTAGCTATCAAAAATAGCACATAGCGTCCAATAGTTATCGTAAATAGAATAGTTATAGTGCCCAACACCTATCAAAAATTGCATACAGTTATCATGCTGGCCAGAAGGATTCTACTAGCATCCAAAGTGACCAATGCCCAACAGAAAGATATTATGAATGCGATTGCAACGCTTGCCACTTTTGATTCCTGCATGTTGTAGTAGTAGTCGTAGTAGTATGTACATCCATAAATGTTTGAATTCCTAATTCATATTTTGAATGATGCAAAATCTAATTTGAACTCCAGTGTTGGTAAGAACCAGGTTTAAATCAATTCACAATTAATGAACATTCTAAGTAAGTCCCTTTGTGAAGAGTGAACGTCTCCAGTATCTAAAGAGAGCCCCGTATATATTTTTATTTCTTGACTCAGGGTTCTATAAAGTAGATCGGATTGAATTCTAATAACTTACCAAAATATTTTAATTTTATGGGGCAACGCATGACCACAATCTGTTTATTGTTTTAACATGTTCGACTGATATCAATTGGCAAACCCAGTGATTGAAACTTATATTAGACAAGTTCAGTTAAATAATGGTGATGAGTAAGACAAATAATTCTTTTTACAGGACCGAGAAAGAAAAGCATTCACTTCTGTTGGAGATCGATGGCCTCTCCTCCCAACTTGATGGCGCATTAAAAGCTAAGGTACCAGCTCTATTCGTTTATTTTCTTTGAATATTGTGAAAATTCGTTCTGATCCTTTACAAAATACAGTTAATGTATATGATCGGTTCTGTATTTAAACAAGACAGTGTTAAGTACATTATGTGCCTCATTAAATCTGTTTTGCTGTCATAGCAATCTGCGGAGAGCAAGTTGGATGGCCTAGAGGCAGCGCTGGCAAGACTGAAGGCCCAAGTTGACGACCTCACCCGCCAAAACAACGACCTGAGCAACTCCAAAGCCCGCCTCACCCAAGAGAACTTCGAACTCCAGAGGCAGCTTCAGGACTTGGACAGTAGCGTTGCCCAACTCAGCAAACTGAAACTCACACTGACTTCCCAACTGGAAGACACAAAGAGATCCCTGGATGAAGAAGTGAGGACAAGGAACAACCTCCAGATACAGCTTGCCGGCCTTCAAAACGACTTCGACAACCTTGCTGGCAAATATGAAGACGAGAGCGAGGCTAACTCCCAACTCCGTGCACAAAACAGCAAGCTCCAGAGCGACCTCGGAAGTCTTAAATCTCGTTACGATAAAGACTTACTTGCCAAGACCGAAGAGTTTGAAGAATTAAGGTTAGTCAAGATTTGTAGGAATTTTGTGCCTTCGCATACTAGGCGACAATTCTTGTTCCCATTCGTTACCATGCATTCACACATAGCTGGGCAAGGTGTGTCCGATTCTATCCAATCCGAACACACTGTTTCATTTGACTGCGTGCATATATACTAGTAACCCAACAAACCCAGGGTCATTGAATGGTTGTCAAGGTGATATCTTGACCATACAGATTACAATTGATGCCAACTTGACCATTACAGAAAGTTTCATTGAAATGTGTTTTTTGGTGATTTCGTATAGCAGGATATTTCGCAATGTGTCAACTCGGACGATGTTTCCTAAACTTAGCACTCGATTTTGCGAATCTCGTGCAAAAACACCTAATGAAAGTAAGGAGTAATGAAACAGCACCTTGGAGGAATGATAATCAGTCCATAATGCACTGACTTCAGAGCTTAACCCTTAATTTATTATAACAAATCTTAACTTGATGTTTTCAGACGCCGTTTGACAAGCCGCATTACCGAACTAGAAAGCGAAAATGACGCACTTCGAACCAAGAACAGCAGCTTGGAGAAAACCAAAAACAAACTGTCCATCGAAGTAAGAGAACTAACAGTTGAACTGGACGGCGCCAACGCCGCTGTCCAAGATTTGGCAGGAAGACTGAAGACAGCTGAACGTAACAACGCTGAGCTCCAGAAACGCAATGATGACCTCCAGAGCGAGCTGAACGCTGCCCTCAACGAGAACAAAAACCTACAACAGACCGTTGTTCAACTTAAGGCAACTCTAGCTGATCTTGGCGACAAGTACGACGCATTGGCCAGAGAAAACAAAGGACTTTCGGACCAACTTCGCGAGGCAAATAGCAACATTAAGGATCTTAACAGACAAGTCAATGATCTGTCAGCTCTTAGAATACAGCTTGAGAACGACGTTGCATCCCTCACCTCTCAGCTCCGCGACGCTGAAGATGCTGCCAGAGATGCTGACCTCCGTGCTCAAGCTGCCCAAGCTGAACTCGCAAAAGCCAAGTCTGACTTTGAAGCTAGACTACGCCAAAAGGATGAAGAAATTGAAAACATCCGGTATACTATAAATAACATTTAATTTGTGTTATAATATGTACGTGAAATTGTCTATTAACTTTTTGCGAAATCTATTGATGACATTGTCGGTTTTACTTGCACTCATTGTCGCGTGTTATTTGATTTCAGACGAAATACCGCAAGAACCATCGAAGAACTCAACAGAACCATTGTTGAAATTGAATCTAAATACAAATCTGAGATCATCAGAATCAAGAAGAAACTGGAAGGAGACATCCGTGAACTTGAGGCACAGTTGGACATTGTCGTCAAACAGAACGCCGGATATGTCAAAGATATCAAAGTTCTTAACGTCAGGATCAGTGTAAGATTTCACGTTACTTTCTGCTTATGTCATCAGCACTGTACATTTACTAATAAGCAACAGAAATGACATCAATCATTCGGCCATTATGAAATTAGAAGACAATACGCACTAACCATGTTGCTTTATAGTTTATTACAGATATTCTCAATGACATATCACGGAATTGTTTCGTTTATCTTGACCTGACCCTACATGGAAACATTATGACTCATCATGCAAACATTACCTTGGGTCCTCATATGTCAACGTCACCAACTGTATATGTGTGTCCCTTTGTGATTGTCACATGCATAGTGCAGTTTCTATCTCTATCCTTATATTCTTCTATTCTTTGGCATGACAGTCAATCTAATAAAAACTGTATTCTTTTTGAGTTTGATTCTTCTGTGTGAAACGTGATATGAATTGCTCACTTCAGAGAATATTAACATGTGATTTATGAACAATAACATTACGTGTACCCCGAATCCTATCTTCTCTTTGTTCCTTAGTTCTTAAATGTCTATATGAGGACCCAAGGGTATAGCTTTATAGTTTTATCAACGGATGCACTGTGCTCTTTCAGACATTCACCACTAAGCTCTACTTCAAATAACATCGCTTTCTCAACTTCACATTCAACATTTGCAATAATTAGGATTTTTACATCAATAGTAATGTATTACTACTTGGTATGTAGCTTGTTAGTTGGAGATTAAAAACCAACAAGCTATCGTGTAGATGACTACATTATTGACGAACATGATGCGATAGTTGGGGGAGGGATGTTGATTGAAGCAAAGAATAGGGAGGGGGCATAGTCAATACGTTGTCCTAGCATGCGCATCCTTTTCCAAGTTTCTAGTAATTTAGAGCCATTTCTTTGCTTTTGTTCATACTGTCATCTCTATCCTTAGCAGTAATGTCTGTCTGTATGCTTGTCGTCCAATTTTTACATTCAAGAATATGGCAACTGTCATGTGTTTCACATATTCATTACTATACGCATGCGGCAACCTCTATTAGCGCTATTCATTTTAGGAACTGGAGATCCAACTTGCTGACAGGACCTCCCAATACGAACAAGCATCTGCTGCACTGTCAGTGGCCGAGAGGAAGATAGTCGCCCTGAAGGTTGAAATTGAGGACACTAGGTCACTCCTGGAGACATCCGAGCGTTCTCGCAAGAACGCAGAAAATGAACTTGCCGACGCAAGCCAACGCGTAAGTGAATTGACCATCCAGGTGACATCATTGACCAACGACAAGAGGAGAATGGAGGCTGATATCCAAGGAATGCAGGCTGATCTTGATGACGCCATCAACAACTTCAGAGGCTCCGAGGATAGGTGCGTACTAAAAACTATTTCATGATAAGTATACAGTGTCTGTACATGTTAATATCGTCAAACGTGCCTTTATCTAGTTCACTTAGTGTTTCCGATTAACCATGAAACATATATTCATTCTTTGCAGAGCTAACCGTCTGCAGAATGAAGTCCATCGTGTGTCAGAGGAACTCAGCCAGGCCGAGAACAACTACAAGAACGCCGAATCTCTCCGCAAAAGTCTCGAGATTGAAATCCGTGAGATCACTGTGAAATTGGAAGAAGCCGAAGCATTCGCAACAAGGGAAGGCAAGAGACTCGTCGCTAAATTGCAGGCCAGAGTAAGTCATACTTGAATATTCGTATATAGTATAAACGAATCAAGGCCACACTTTTAAAATTACATTAAATAAGTTCAAAGTCTGGTAATATTAATTGTAATGGACGCATGAAAAATTGTTTGTAAGGTGAATTCAGAGTAAGCCTACTGTATATTGATGCATAAGTACGTGTAACCACAAGTGCTAACTGGGGAAAAGATCTATACAGAAAAGGAAACAATTGCACAACTCTGTCATAAGGAAGCAAAATCCAACATCCCATACAATGGTCTAACGTTCAAAAGAACAATGTCTATCCCAACCATTGAGGAACCATTAAGTCTAAAATCATAAGGCCTTGGGCCATTCCATTCATACAGAAATCGTTAAATTACATGTTGAAGTCATAGAAGACAAAGCATTTACTATTACATTTGAGCATTTAACCCCCCCCCCCGCACATGCACACTTATTCTCACCATGTTTGCTTGGTGTCTTCTTGCAGCTCCGTGATGTCGAATCCGAACTCGAGGTTGAAGGACGCAAGGCTCGTGAATTCTCAGCTGCCAACCGTAAATTGGAACGCCAGCTGGTTGAATTCCGAACCACTGCTGAGGATGACCGTAGAACAGTCCAAGAACTCCAAGACCTTGTCAGCACTCTACAAATTAAAATCAAGTCATATAAACGACAGATCGACGAAGCAGTAAGTATTCTTTGTCTTGTAATTCCTCATCAGCTTTAACGTGTAAATTGAAGCATTGGAGAACGCTGTTCCATATTGAAAGCTCCATCGGGATTAAAATCTCTTGGCTGATTAAAATACAAACCGCCAACCATATCAAATTCAAAATGAAAAACTATTTCATGTGTCTTACAATTTAGGAAGATGTTGTGTCGATCACTTTGAACAAATACCGCAAGGCACAAGCCATGGTGGAAGAAGCCGAAACACGTGCCGATATGGCTGAGAGGAACGCAAGCTCAATCCGCCAGCGGGGACGATCAATGTCAATGTCAAGAGAGGTCACAAGGATAATCAGGGTATAGAGGTCAGAGGTCAGTAACATGCGCAGTAAAGGGAGTTTCAATTCAACGCATTAAATTTCATAAAAAATCATTTACGACATTGCTGAGCACTATGGTTATCGGAAGTTGGCTTTTATGATAACTTATAAATTAGATGCTATGCCCAAATTTGAGTTGGTTGGGTTTCTCTTTACGCCATGATATTAAGGCCAATACGCTTGGCTTGTAAGTATGGTGTTCTGCTTTTTGCAAGCATCTTGCATCGCGACACTGACTATAATATATCTAATGAAGAGATAGAATGTGTAACAGGAAGATGGTATGCCAAGCGCTAAATAAAATGAATTCCTCACTTGATGTTGAAATATGGATAGATGCTTCGAGCAGTAAATATCTGCCACAGCAAACTGTAAGCATACATTTAAGTAACCGATACTTCAGCAGAAGAGGAAATTGCAAAATCAACTACCACACAAATGCTATACACTTCATGCAACCGTTTTCCTTTGCATGGGTAACAGCAACAGTTGTTCAATTTGTGAACCTTACTATGTTAACATATTTTGCAAACTTTGACCTGATGCCTCGATATACTTTCACGGAAGCATAATAATAATCTAATTGCAATGTAATACTACCTGGGCTGGCAAGGCATATTAAAACAAACATATTTGCCCTTCACATGAACAGCTTCACTTTGACAATTCCCCCAACTTAAAAAAGTGGTTTGTCCTCAATTTTATAGTAATGCACCATAGTTTGCACCATGAAACCTAAAATAATGTTCCTTTGTTCAACTGAGTATAAGCTGCTTGGTATAACGATTCACAGATAATTAGTTTTGTGGAAATAACAAAGGGTGGCAACATCTGCAAGTAAATCGTCCTTGCTTTCGACTTGCAGTTGATAGTAACTAATGTTTATCTCCTTAAACACACTCGATTTCTGAAAAAAGTCTGCTTGCATGCCAAACATAATTTGAGCAGGGGTTGAATCTAAACTTAGTTCTCCAGTCAGTGACGTCATGTTGAGCGATATGCTATTTAGCTGAAAGTTTGTGATCAACGATCTCCGTTTTAAAATATAACTTAAAAATATAACTATTTTTCCGATTTTCAAATTTTTATTTGTTTGCTCCAGATACCATAGAAAAAGAACAATATCATTGGTTTTCTTTGATTTTCAGCCGTCATACTTTTCCAACAGCTTTCAAAGACGCAGCAGGAAGACCGGCAACCGTACCATCTATATCCGAAGTGGAATCGGCCGCCGTCTAGGCTGGTTTGCATCATAAACTACATAACGACATCTCATATACACCTAACAGACTGTACACATTTGGAGAAATACACCAAGTGATAGACTCTGCGATCAGTTGCATATATTGTTAATTCATTACTAATTAGTATCTGGCGTAGATGGAATGAATTTGTGATGGGCACGTGATTCGTTCCACCAATCCATGATCCCTCTAAAGTTCACGTCACATCCGGTGCCTAAACTAGGTACAATTATTACATCTACGTCAGAAAAACACACTGCCAGTTTTTAACTGCTATTTATACGCTCTGTTGTAGTTATAACTTATTTTTTGAATATTATATATGATCGATACTTAATTTATATCGGCACCATGCTCAGTTGCTTATAGACTCGAGAAAAGACATTTAGAAATTGCTGTTGGAACCAAGCATTCTTATCATTCTGGCACACCACGTGCTTTTATGTGACATCATCAGTATATGAGTATGAATAATATTATGATGATACACCCTCTCAAAGGTCAACCAAAGGTCAACCAGAGGTGTAGGCACTATGCCTTGTTGAGAATCAGATCACGGGCGTGTAACACCATAATGTTCATTTAGTACTCATCTTGTAAAATGTGCAATGAAGAGGAGATCATATGATTATGTAAAATAAAGGACTATAGAAGAATATCCTGTATTAATATGTAGCTTTGTAATACTTATAATCCCTGGTGGTAGAATTATACACTAGCCATATAGGGCGCCACCTGTGGGTGATATGTGACAATACTCCTATCTATTGTCATGAAGCAGTATTCAACATTATATTATATTATATATAGTATACCACACTAAATTCATATAGTTGGACTGTTGTTACAGTTTATATTTGTTTAAACATGAGAAGGTACCTTTTCAATAATATGTACACATATAAAGTTCAAATGGTGAAAATATTCATTAAATTTGTTCCCAATGACCGCTGGAAATGGACGGTCAATGTTTATGTGATGTTTCTACGTTGTATCATGGCCATGGTGGTAAAATAAACAAGCTAGTTCAAAAATTGCCTTTTATAGCTTTCTCAAATTATCTGTATAGTCAGTCATGTTGCATATCATAGACTTTTCGAACTCACCAGACCAGCTAGATATTCAGTATTTTCAAAATGTGGGAATCGTCTTGTTCTGTGGTAATGTAATTTAATAATACTCATTAAAGTGGCCGTATTTGAAATTCCTACTGTATCCCTAATAGCCTCAGAATAATTTAATTCACAATTCATCAAACGTTTGACCAAAAGTAAGATCCAAATTACATGATATTGTTTAGAAGTACTCAGTTTCCTACTTTGGTATATACCTGGTATCTATTCATTAATTAATAATACTCATTAAAGTGGCCGTATTTGAAATTCCTACTGTATCCCTAATAGCCTCAGAATAATTTAATTCACAATTCATCAAACGTTTGACCAAAAGTAAGATCCAAATTACATGATATTGTTTAGAAGTACTCAGTTTCCTACTTTGGTATATACCTGGTATCTATTCATTAATTAATAATACTCATTAAAGTGGCCGTATTTGAAATTCCTACTGTATCCCTAATAGCCTCAGAATAATTTAATTCACAATTCATCAAACGTTTGACCAAAAGTAAGATCCAAATTACAATATATTGTTTAGAAGTACTCAGTTTCCTACTTTGGTATATACCTGGTATCTATTCAATTCATTTTAGCTTTAAAAAATACAAAGAGTAACACCATAATATTCATTCAGTATTTAGAAATACACATTGACTGCGAACTCTCTGAGAATCTTGATTATTACAGAGATTCTTTGTTTTACATGCTGATGGAAATGAGAGAGTTTGTATCGATCTATTCCACAAGTTATACTGAAACGTCAATGTAATATAAAAAAATGGATGAACTTCCTGGAAACGAGTTTTTGGTTTTCTCGATTAAAATCTATTTATCAGTCAAGTTGCAGATTATAAGCTCGAAAATACAACCTAGCTTTAAAAAAGCCTTCGAATTAAAACTTGGTTTGTAAAGTGAAGTTGCAATTCCTAGTTTAGTTTCTCGCGTTTGTTACATTGACGAAAATCCATTATATTACCAATTCTACTTTGAAGTGGACGTGCGTCAATGTAACAAAGCGAGGGGCTAAATGTATGAATTACGGCTGCATTTAAAAGTCCTTTCCAAACCGTAGTTGTATTTTTTAAAGCTAGAATATATTGTCTAACTTTGTGCCAGATCAAAATCTGCAACTTGACTTATACGTAGGTTTAAATCGAGAAAACCAAAAAGTTCACATTGATCACGTTCCGTCAAAGTAACTAGTTGTGAAACAGTGATTTATGGAACGACCCTCGTAGCAGTGAATTGATCGCCTTCTAGTTTAGCTGAATTAAGTTTTTATAAATCTGACTTTAGATTTTATATGTGACCTCCATTGACCTTCTCAAGGTCAAAAAGGTATTTTTCAACTTGTTTCAAATTGACCAATTCTTTTTTCAAAAGCATCTACAAATTCTCAGAAATCTGACTTTAGATTTGAAATTTCACCTTCAATGACCTTCTCGGGTTCAAAAAGGTCTATTTTCAACTTGCTTCAAATTGAACTTCCGATTCCTATGATTAACAATGCCTTTCGACAAAATTTTAAGTTACGACGGTTCCAAAAACGGACCCCAAGGCAAGGGTGTAATATGCTTATATGACATTTAAACAAAATCGCTCCACTATATATATTCCAGTTATAGCAACAACATAAAATAACATGTATAAAAATGGCCGCTCACTCGCCAAATTGTCATAAAAAGTGTAATAAGCTTCTTGTCACATATAAAATTTTACCAAAGGGACTTGACAGGCAAGTTCTGCTTTCGGAGTATTTGCACTCACATGGAATAAATGTATGAAATATTAACGACTATTGGGCCAACTTAGCTATTGCCCGGACAGGTGCAGGACGTACGTATGGACGTAGCCGTTCTCTATATTTCCAAGAACGTTCGATGGGATAGTTTTTTTCAACTCCTTACACGGGGTCACCCTGTTTTGTTGGGCCAAAGAACATCGGGGGGTTTGAAATGCTGTTTCTCTCAGTAATTCTAAACTATACTTATGAGAAAACATCTAGGTAAATGATAGAATATTGTCTCAACTACTAAATATACGATTCTTGTTTAAGCTCTACAATTCTTTGATATTTGTAATTCTTCATTATGTCATGGGAAATTTCAATTCCACATTCTAATTTCCTGAATATTTTTCATGTGGACAGAAATATCAAAATGACAAATGAGGCACAAATATGTAAAAATATTTTAAGATTCCTAATATGATCTCACGTTTCATAGGTCTTTTGAATTAAAAAAACATAAAGTGTGATTGATAATCCAGGGATTCTCTTTACTTTCAATGCATTGTAGAACTCAATGAGAATTGCCAATTGAGACAATATTCTATCATCTACGTATATAAAGGGTGTTTCATATGTATGCACCCCCCCCCCATAAACTTATACATGTAGTACTGCCACCCTATCATGTTATATAGCACTTTGTCCCTTATGGAAAGTCACATAAGATGGCAAAGATTCAGAATACAGAGGTGTGCCTGAAAAAAAGATAAACTTATCAAAGTAAGTGGGTACGGGTCATTTCGAGGGGAATTTCTAGTCATTTCAAGGAAAATTTGGTTTCTGTATTGCAGACTTCTACGCAGTTGTCATCATGGCAGAGTTCGGTGCACACGAGTGTGATAGTTATGCACAAAGATATACACTCCCCTCCATAAGTTTGGCAACCTTAGCTCCCTCATTGAACAACGTGTTAAAGCCTCTTTATGTTTGAATTTTTTATTTACATAACCTGTGAAGAAAATATATACTATTGTTGGGAATGTAACTTGACTTCATTTCCAATGCCTCCAAATTTTCCGGATTTTTTCCTCAATCACAATAGGTCGGAAATTGATGATAAAGGTCCATTTGCAGTATGGCAAGTGATTTTAGACAGTCATATCTTTTACCATGAGTACTTTCTGGGTGTAAATACAGTGGTTTTTATTAAAACAATATGTTTAAAGTGAAGACCCCATGATAGTAAAATATCAATCCAACTCTCTGAAAACTTATGGATTATGACCCCACCTTGTCACTTTTTTAAAAATGTACACTTGCCTCAAAAAAGAGGATCTTGTTTCTCTCAATTTAAATATATCAAAAGTTTCTTCTACACTATATCAATAACTTCTGAAAAGGGGATAGGTATTGAAATGTGATAAAGTTAAAAACCACATTTCCACATTTCCCATATTATTTTCCCATGGGGAAAACTCATGCTATCCATTGTTTTCAGCATGATTTGGGTCATCGAAAATTGATATCTTCAAAACTAGACTTTCAATACCATTCTACTTTTGAAGATGTTTGGAGCGTTGTTGAATAATCTTTTCATGCAATAAAAATCAGAAAAGAAGATCCTCTTTTGAGTAAGTTCAACATTTTGAAAAAAATGTTGACGTGGGGTCCCTATTTATAATTTTTCGAATTGTTCTATTGATATTTTTATCATCATGGGAACTTCACTCGAAAGAAAACATATTGTTTTAATAAAAATCACTGTATTTATGCCCAGAAAGTACTCATGGTGAAAGATATGACCGTCTAAATCACTTGCCATACTGCACATGGACCTTTGATTAATTTTTGAAAATCCTCATTCCCATGTAAACCAATGGGAAATGGTGGGTTCGGGGCAAATCTAATTTCAGGATATCTATCAAGATTCACCAAAAATATTTCTATATAGAAAATTGAATTGTCCAACTTTTTGTACGCTTTTTTCAGTTTACTTTACGAATACTATATTTAAGAGTCATTTTTGAAAATCATTTTTCGCCTTCTCTGTTATTGAAATGGGAGGAGTTTTTTTTAAAGAATAATTTTGACTCTGAAGACCTATAACTTTTTAAAACTGAAAAAACATATAAATTTTTTATTAGATAAAGTTAGCAAATTCAATTGACTACCTAACTTGTATTTTTGCAAGAACTTGGATGGATGAATATTCTGTCATATGACTTGCGGCAAACCTACCATTTTCTATTCGTTTACATTGGAATGCCGATTTTCAAAAAATAAAGATTTATCATCAATTTTCGACCTATTGTAATTGAGGAAACAATTGGGACAAATAAAAATTGTTACATTCCAATCAATATTAAGTAAGTATTTTCATCACAGGTTATGTAAATAAAAATTCGAACATAAAGAGGCTTTAACACGTAGTTCAATGAGGGAGCTAAGGTTGCCAAACTTATGGAGGAGAGTGTATATATAGGATTCATGCAGTGGTTTATAGGGAGGCCAGGGACCCTGGTGTGACCTCTATCACTAAAATGTGTATGAGGCAGTGAACAGATCACCGGACTGAATCCAAAGAGGACTAGTACTACAAAAGGCCCTCTAAATGACCCCATACCCGCAAACTTTGATACATTATATATTGTATCATTTTTGATACTCTAAGAGCGAGGAAGAAAATTCTTAATAAATGGAGTATAGTTGGTTTGGCAACATTTTCAGTTAGGGGGAAGTCCCTACCTGGATTCTGAAACTTTGCAATCTTATGTAACTTTCCATAAGGAACAAAAGGATATATTTAGCAGTTATGTCCCTATCATTGAATATATGCCTGAGATCTTGAAAATTCTTTCTCGAACAGGGCTTCTATGTCCCTAGGCATCAACATATAAAATTTGAACCAAATCCG